AATAAAATAATGCCTGGGAAATGCTTTATAAAACGACAGGGTGCTGTATAGGAGTAACAACTCCAATAGTATCCATTATTAATATTGTAATACTTGCTGCATCAATAGCCGTCTTTGTCTCTACTTTTATTTCAAACCATTTACAGGGAACTTTTGAGACCAAAGCGCCCCAGTTGCTTGTCATGGAATAAAAGATCTGCCCTTTCTTATTCTACCTCTTTATTGAATACAGATGATATATTAAGATGCCTGCAGTCATTATTTTGGAAGTCCCAGAGGCCAAATTGGGTGAATTATGAGACTCATTTATTATTGAATAATCATTAAGATGACTCAACCCATCAATCAACTGAACAACAAAGAGTCCAACCTTCTGCTTCCTTCTTTTTGACCTCAGAGAAGCCAGGGTTATAATTCCAGAGAAATAAATTGTGAAATCCTAAAAAATAATCGACAACAACAGATATCCACCAAAACATTTAAGTCCACAATGGTTCTAGGCTTTTAGAAGATTCCTCTGGCTACACTAAGTGTCTACTGGAAGACATTTGCACCCCAATATTCTAGCTGTAGGTTTTGTGTTCTAAATTAATCTGCAGTCCTCGCTCTGAGCACTTTCCTTCCTTTGAGGATCAAAAGCATCTCATAGAAAACAATCCTCTGATATATAAAAACCAAACCCAGGGCCATTGAGTTGATTACAACTCATGGTGACCCCATGGAAGAAAATAAAGATGAACACGTGTTTCTTTGTGTTAATACTGCTTGCTAATCTAAACGGTGGTCCCAGGGGGATCTGGGGAAGAGCTCGGAGATTTCCATTTGCCTTATGAAAAGTTTAATATGTGAGTTGAAAATCACGCAGCCGAGGTTCGGATTCCACCGAATGAAAGCACGGGAGGTTATGGATGCTCAGGGTCACCCAAATGGAAGCTCTGGGTTCCAAGGGCATTTCTGGAGAGGAGGGTCCCAGTGCATTTACCACGTCCATTAAGCAACAACTACTTAGGGTAGCAGGGCCTTTCTCTCGGGAAGTACAATCAGTAGGAAGGGCAGCAAAATAAGCAACGGAGGAAATTTGGTATTGATTTTTTTTTCTTCAGTGAAATTACACGAAAGCTCAATGACTTGTAGCAAGCTTTACCTTCATCAATAAGGCTCTACTTGAGACCACCTTGAAGTTTAATTTTCTTTTTTTTTTTTACGATGTTTACTTTTCTTCCACTACTTTACACTTCCTCTAGTGTCAGGTTTCGTTGTATTAATTGTCTTTGGTGCTGAGAGATGGTGATACTTTTTATTCACGATAACGCAGAGAGGATTTTGCTAACGGTGTAACTGAAAGATTCCCAAATGATGTTGGTTCACTCCTTTTTAGTTAAGAAACAGCGACACAAAACAAAAACCCAAATCTTAAAACCAAAGGAAGTGGGGTGGGGGAGCGTTATAAAACAAGTTTTCAGTAGTAAGACATTAGGGGGGGTTTCGGGGTTTGAGCTCTAGTGGAATCTGTCTAATCTATGGGGTCATCTATCTCAGACTCACCATTATAGATGTGTGCATTTGGTCATAATCATTTCTGATACTTTTTGAGCATGTACTGTGTGCTCGGTGTGCTAAGTCTTTATATGCTTTCTGTTATGTAGGGAAGCAATAAGTCGCCTATGTGAAGCTGTCCCTGGGGCAAATGGAGCCGTTAAAAAAAGAAAGGTAAATATATTTTCTTTTTCTTTTTTTATGTTTTGAAAGACACTGTAAAATCGTTGTGCGTGCACTCCAGCACACAAGCAGGCTGGCCTTTGCTCGGTGGCAGTGTATCTATCAGAGCTGCACTCAAAGGTGTTCTCGGCCCTCGATTCCCCTGACCTGCCTGACTGTCCCTGTGTGAACAGTGTTGGCTAAAGGGGCACGTCAGAAAACCCGGTTAACTTCAAGTGCGTTCTCTGGTCTCTCAAGCCCTCTTGTTTTGTTCTTGAAAAGTAGAGGAGTTGAACCAATGTTCAACTCAGCCCCTCCCGATGTCAATATTTTCTAAAGCTTATGTCCTGGGTCATGATATTTTGGAGAATTGCTTGTCACTCCCTGACCCATTTTCAGACAACAAACCTGGGTGGCATAGCTGTGGTATATGGGGAGAAGGAACTTGCACATTGACAGAAAGCTCAAGCTTTTTTTTAGACAACAACAAAAGTCTTATTAGCATATATTTCACATATCATACAATTCAATAGTTCAGTCCCATTGAGAAGAGTCATACAGTCATCACCACAATCAATTTTAGAACATGTCCTTCGTTCACATAGTCATTGTTCCTAGCTTCCCATTGCCCCCAACCTCCCCTGCCATGCCCCCTGGACATTATTAATCCAGTTACTATCTCTATAGATTTACTTACCCTGGATTCCATATACAGGAAATCATACCACACAAAAAACAAGAAACAAACAAGCAAAACCCCAACAACAATGACAAAATGAAACAGAGAGAAACTTCAACCAGAGAACAGGAAATATCTAAAAAATAGAACAACTTTAAAATTGGTCAAAGGGGAGATCAAATGATAACTCGCTACATTTTGACCTCAGTCCATCTGCCACCATGGACTTCACACTGCTCTGTCTGACTGCAAGGTTATTCACAACCCTGGACCCTGGTCAGAGGGAATTCACCGGAGGCTTAATCCACATGGGGACTCTGTAATTGGATTTTGGGCTTCCACTGTCATCCATAACCTTCAGAAAGTATACATTCTGATGTTAAACCTACATTTTGATTGAAATCTTTCCACTGGCACCTACTAACCATGATCTTGGGCAACCCACTAAGCCTCTTATCCTTGGCTTCCTGACCTGTAAAATAGGAGAAAGTAGTTAAATGAAACAATGTCTACCCAACTTCTGACATAGTATCTGGTGTATATCAGCTTTCTAGCAATAGTGGGAAATATTGTTATTGGAATTAATCTGTTAACCTTAGAATTTTTAGTTGCTCAGAAGTGTAGGTGCAAAGGGTCTAAGTCATCGAACTGCTAATTGAAGAAAGGAGAAGAAAGATGAGCATTTTTTTTATTCCCATAAAGATTTACAGTCTTGAAAACCCACAAGGGCAGTTCTACCCTATACTCTAGGGTCAGCCTGAATTGGAATCATCTCTATGGGATTGAGTGAGTGAATTAGAAGGAAGAAATGTTTATAGATATGCCAGTCCAATGCTTCCATTTTGTAACTACTAAACCCAGACACAGAGTACAAATGAGATTGGCTTTGAGTCACTAAACTAATTAAAAGCTGGGTCAGCTCTAGAAGCCTGGTCTGCATTCCAGCTCAGAGCTCTGGTTCTATACCACACTTTCTCATTTCTATTATCATTCTTGATCATTTGCATAGTGTTGACCCCAGTGTCACTGCGAGGAACTCAAATGAGCCACATGGGAAATCTCTGACAAGTGGCCCTTGACATCTATTTAATGCTACCCTGTACAGGTTGTTCCCAACTTAGTATATTTGAGTTACGGCCATTACATTTACCAGCATACCCCCTTTTGAGGTACATTTTATCATTAGTGATTTGTGCTTCATCGAGGAGCCTTTATGGCATAGTGGGTAATGTGTTCAGAACCACCAGCCACTCCGTGGGAGAAAGACAAGGCTTTGTCCTCCTGTAAACTGACAGTCTCAGAAATTCACAGGAGAAGTTCTACCCTGGTCTATGGGGTCACTATGAGTCAGAGGCATTGAATTTGAGG